CCCCCCCCCCCCCCCCCCCCCGAAACTACTTAAAAAGGCACATTACATTATCGTGTCAATCGGCTTACTGACCCATAATTCATTCATTTATTGAATCTAGTCTGTAACTACCTCTCTTTCATATGAATAGACAGAGGAAGGGAAACAACCACCACCACTCCAGCGACATGTGCCGAATAATTAATAACATCTACCATCTACTCCCGTATATCCATACTTGTGTCAGAAAATATGTATAGAAGCCAAACGTTTCCATGAAGTATTCCATATACAGTCATTAGAATTTGTAGATTCAAAAGGAACAAGCCCAGCTGTATAACGACACCGACTTAGAAGCCAGAGACGAGAATCACAAACACCAGGATGTTATTTAGCACATTTTGGTCCAAGAAATGATACATATTGTTCACATTCTATAACTTCAATCGATGAATTTGCAATTTTTTTTCTCGCCTCCAAGGCATAAAGTGGTAAGGGTAGTAGTTTCGTAAGTTCCTCCCCTTTAGCGTCGCAGCCATGTCAAGTTATCAATCTTAGATCAATCCATATTCAAATGCAAATACTATGCAAGGTGTGCAACGTAAATATAGATACCGGTTTTGTCCAAAGGAAGACATTTTTATATTCACATAAATTAGTGGCTAATATCTGATACAGGAAATCTAATCACCCTTTTTTCAAAATTTATTTTTGCAGTATTTTGCCCTTTATTAGACAGTCACTTTAAATGCATAAGTGGTGAAATTTAGTGAGCGGAACAAAACACATTAGACAGTTTCGAAAGTAATATAACACCAACCTGGTGGTAGAGAAAAGAGCGTGCTCTGGCAGTCACCACAAAGCAACGGTTCTTTTTCCTTGTGCCAAATCCTTGACTAACAATGGAATTTCCTACATTCAGTTGATTGAAGCTTCCAGAAACACAAGGATCGATCTTTGATCTGTTCGAGAGTGAAAATGAATCTTCTGCAGCAAAATAACTTTGTTCTCTCTCTGTGATTGAAGGAAAAGATGGGCTTGAACCGACCTCAGTAACATTTAGTTCATCAAGATTTCTGATGGGAGACTTAGCCTGCCAGCCAGTAAGACGTGTTATATCGCGAAAAAGAAGATTTGTGGCACTGGGCCAACAAATACAAACAAGAAAAAATGGAATTATTCATAGGTCAATGTTTGAAACTAGAAAATCTAGCTATAATGTCAAAAACAACTGCACGTTCCAAAAAGTGACTCCTGCTAACAACTTCGGTAGTAAAGCTAGTTATCGGAAAGATGAACAAACCTGACATGCAACAGCCCTGAAAGAACTAAAATCATGACGTCCAACAAGTATTTTGCATGCTTCCTGAACAACAATCAATATAACCAAGTTTAGACATCGAAAATATGACAAACACAATTCAGCTTAGGGGAAATGTATGTCCAGTTAGTCAGACCTGCATAGCTAGAAGATCAAGTTCCTCAGGCACATGCCAAGCCCTGTCTTTCTCAAAGGTTGACAAAAGCTCCTTCCCAGTTAACAAACGATAGAAATACCTGTAGCAAAATTAAGAAAATAGTGAATCTCAAATTTCTGGCCCATAAAAATTGTATTGAACAATAAACACACTGTATAATCCCTTATTTGAAGAGAATATGGACGGAAGCAGTGAAAGGGTCAAAAGATCAATTATAACAACATCCAGCCGATACTGAAATGACCTCAGTTTTTACCCACAATGAACCTAGCAGTTGGGCATAGGCCATAGAGCCCGCTGGGCTTAGCTCTAAAGTTAAAAGAGAAAAAAGAAGAAGCCAAAACTGGCTTCATTTTTTTTTTTTTTTTTTGCGTTTCTTTATCATTTTCTTATTTCTTTTACTGTCAATCCCTAGACTGGCTCCATTTTTTTTTTTTTTTTTTAGGGTGGGGTGGAGAGGGTGGGCAGTTTCACTCAAAAAGCTGGTTTCTTCTATAAAAGAAGCAAAAAGAAGAAAAGAAACATGCTAATAATTTTGTAAAAAGATTTCAGCAGTGCATAACAACATATGAAATGCTTTGACTGCATTGTGTGATATTCCAAAAATACAAGCTAATTATATACATTGAAATGTGAAAAAATCACAAGTTCTGCAGAGATGAAAGTAAGCCTCAGAGAGCAATTGCAATTCCACTGGTAAAGTTTTGAGTATGATACCTACGTGCGTTCTTGAGCTTTGTATCGAGCATGAAAATTAAATGGAACACAACGGACGTCAATCACCATCATATCACCACCATTTTTCTGCATTAAAATCCCCGGAAGAAGAAAACAGAACATAAGTTAAAAAAATGAAGTGCAACGTAGCTCAAACTTCATGATTGCCTTTGCATAATAACGTATTCCTGACTTTTGAAATAGTTAACTTTAAATATTAGTGCAAATTAGAAAAATTGAGAACTTTGTGACTTTGTCTATGGCAGCCATGATACAAAAACACGTGAACATGTGGCACCCATCTTTTCCCGGTCGAGGCAAGAACCAGAGGTCTTGTCGTATAAAGAAAATAACTATTACTCATCCTTGCACAGTTCTTTGTTATCAGCTTGCCAGTGAAGTCATTGAATATTAAACCTTATACAAAGGCAATCATGATATCATGTGCTTAAAGAAAATTGGACTCAGTAATCAAGAATATTGATAGAAATATATGGAATACAAATTCAACCACGGCATCCTAACAAAAAGAAAATGTGCTAGATTTAGATGCAATCTTTACATTATCAATTACTACACATCACCTCATGCGAACAACCATAAGAAATGAAGCATGGATGACTCCACGAGTATAAGCACAAACACAATCTGAATTTTTTATAAACTCACTTTTTTTCCATCAATTTGAAATTTCAGGTCTCAGTCATCCAGATCATTTCAAGTGTATAACTGTTTTAAATTATTCATTCCATCAAATACTGACAAGGCTATATTACCCTCTAGTAAATGAGAGGACACCGTTGCATTGGATAGGATAAAAGAAAAAGGCATAATAATATCTATCAAAAAAAGATTCAACACAGAAATTTAGGTAGACAATAAGGCAACTCAGAAACAGATGGGGATGCTTTTCGCAAAATCATTTGCTGCCCAGCAGCTAAATAAGAAATGAAAAGGGCAAGGCAAAGCACTAGCCGACAATGCAATGAATCTTTAACGCATATAGAAAAGATAGTCACGCCTAAAGATTTGGCTTCCAGGCATAATTGCTTATATCTGGAATTACTAGAATATCAAGAGCATACCTGTAGAAAATGATTAACAGCTCTTTTAACCACTGAAGGTTCATGAGGTGGTAACTGCATATTGAAATCAGTGAAAGTAGTAAATATACCTTCATCTTTATACACAAGTCATTTGCTTTTGAAGGTCTCATGTATTTTGATTTGTAAAGTAGAGCAAAGTTTATTGACCAAACTCAAAATCAGTAGCATTCAGTGTTAAAAGCATATCGATGATGCGCATACATAAGCCTGAACAACTCTATACTTAGCAGATGATTCTTTTCGAGCAGCAGGGCAGGGCCAGAGAGAAAGTGAGAGTGAAGTAAAGAAACCCTCTCAAATTGGTAAGGTAGGAGGCAACGGGCTGAAGCAATACACATTACATGTATCCAATGTATCCGTGTTACTTGCTCGTGCCACAGAAAAGGAATAGACTATCAAGCTCAAGTGAAAAACATAAAATCAGGACGTATTTTCTAGATAAGTTAGTTACCACTTCACCAGGTTTTCTTTTGCTTATTCTCTCGACATCCACATGGCACACATTTGATAACGCATGAACTCCCGCATCCTAAACATTAATTAATTCAGACATGCCATAAGAAAAACAAATGTAACAAAAACTGACATCGGATGGAACGACATCATCCGGTCAAATATGAAATCGAAATACTCACAGTTCGACTTGAGCAAAAAATTGAAACTGGCTGTCCAATAAATTTCTGAAATGCCTCCTATTTTCATCCATAAAAAGATATTCATAAAATACAACATAAAATTTATGAACTGTTGGGCGATTAAGAAAAATAAATAAAATAACCTCCAGAACACCGACGACGGTCCTGCAATTAGACTGTTGTTGAGCACCCGAAAATCGGGTACCAATGTACTCAATAGCAACTAAATATCTCTGTAATCTAGGGTTCGGATTCATATTCTTTTCGATTAGCTTTCTCTCTTCTTCTTCCTTGTCCTCCTCGGCGCCGTCAGTGAAATCTTCGCCGTTTATTTTGGCGACTTTGGATGGGCGCTGGGGAGATTCTGGGTGCGAGTGCTTGGAACTCTCTTGAATAAGATCGTCAGACATTTGTCCGCGCAAAATGGAGGTTTTAGGGGTTTTGGAAGAAATTTGGAAAGAAGGGCTCAGGAGGTCAACAGTATAGATGAGATCAATGACTGCTCTGTGCTCACTACATGATTAGTATTCGTTTTGTTTAAAAGTGCCTAATTTTGATAACTCCCGTTAAAATGATCAAATTGGATACCAAATTATCTATTATACCCTTAATGAAAAATGAAGTAATTTTTTTTTAATTTCTCACAAATTTCGAGAAGAACAAGTAGCTTCCATGAGAATCTACATTAATAATAGCTAATACCTAATTGATTCATTTGTTTTTATTATCTATTAGATATCGACCAAAAATTTTGGAAAAAATGGAAAAGTTGAAATAGTAAAGTCTTTAACGCTAAAAAATAATTATATGATTCTAATTCATAAGAAAATCATATAATTTCATTTCTAGAAATTTAATTTCATCCAAAATTGTAAGCTGATTGGCTCTACACAAATAATTTCATTTCGAAAAATTTAATCTGATCCAAATTTGCAATTGATTATGATTTCCACAATTCTCGGTAGAAAATAATTTTCCTTCGAAATCTTATTTTTGTTGATAAATTGTATTTAATAGAAGTTATTCTTGACATTTCATGACGTTTTCGTCATTTTAAAAGCTGTTATCGACATTTGAACCATGTTTATCTTGACACGTGACACTTCATTTATTTAGAACGAGATTTCGTTTTGAATATGAGAGTTCTCTACGTCCCATAATATTTTTGATATTTTAAGTGTACTTCTCGACATTTTATAAATGTTTTATTTATCCACTTGGACCACTTATAGGGGGAAGTGGACATATAATGCATGATTGATATTGTACTTTTTAAAATAAGTAGTATGTGTTATGTGTTAGTTATTATTGGCCAATACAATTTATAATTAGATAAATAATTGTCATCATTGAAGAATTTCAAATTGTCAATTGAGTGCATTTCTTCTATATTATAGTAAAATGGACATTGAAGAAATTTTGGACATTTTTGCAAATGACTATGTAAAAGTTGACATTTTTTGCAATTTCATCTTTAAAAAATTGCTCATCATACATTCATCCATTAAAAAAAATTTCATTCATCTTTAAAGGAGGTGTAAAATAAATTAGAACTCCGAAATTACCAAAACTTCAACGGATAAATGCAAAAGATATGTAATTTGCATTTTCCTGCTGAAAATTTAAAAAATGATGTAAATTTACATTCATAATAAGTAAAAAAGTGGATTTAGATCTTTTCATTGAAGTATAATTTGGATTTAGATCTAACGAGATATAAATTAGAACGGAAAATTGATATTGATGATACCCATGTACACCAAACAATTCTTCGCAGTTTCAACTCATTATTTGTCTTCCAAAGCAAATCATTATTAATTTTCTTATAGTATGAATGGGAAGGTGAATCAACCCAAGTAAACTTATTGTTGAGATCATGTGCAAAAACTCTTAGGCCTTGTTTGATTACAGTGCATTTCATGAAAAATGTCACATTCGAGGAAAACGAATTTCACTTTGACCGTTTGATTGCAACATAGAAATAAGAATCGAATTTTAAGGTACAATCACTTTAAACTACATTTTCTTTACATTCATAGAAAACAAATTCCTATGGTCTGGTGAATTTTTATTTTTCAACTAATATGGAATTGAAATTATTTTCCACATTTGCCTATCAAACAGACCTTTAATTTAAAATTTGGTTGGAAAAAGAACCAATTGATTGTGAATTTAAAAGTTACTTTTTTTCTAATTAACCCTTGTTTAGACTCCATTTTAATGAGGTTTCAAAGAAAAATGTATTTTAAAATAGTGTCTTTTTGGAAAACGTGTGGTTAAAAAGAATGAAAAGTTTTAAAAATAGGTGTGATATTATCTAATCGAAGAATGTGCAGTTCAAAAGAAGAAAAAGGAAACTGCATTAAAATTTTAATGGTGTCCAAACACGAACTTAGTCAAAATCAAACATTAATTTCGCCTACATATTCATAACTATTATCCATTTATTTCTCCTAAAAATTTAATTGTAATGAACACTCATTTTTTTATTAGCTAGACTGTTTGGTGGTTTTTGCTTGTACTTCTGGTTTTAATCTACATGACTTCACTCTAAAAAGCTAGAGTCTCAACATTGGACTTAAAAAAGTCCAAGAACCAAACACCACAAATACAAATAAAACAACACAACAACAACAACATAAAAAAAATAACAAAACAGAATAGAAGCCGACGACAAAGAGGCCCGACTGCTCGTCCGACAGGCAACGGCATCACGACAACGGGCCGACACGAGTACCCGTCTCACGCGTAGAATAATATTGTTAAAGTTATGTTTAGCCGTTTGTCATGATAACATGTTTTCATGCTACCAAGCGAATAATTAAAAAGTCAATTTTAAATCGATTCATAGTATATATTTGCAAAAGTGACTACTCTCAAAAGAAGGAAACAATTTTAGCCCATGTTTGCCCCCCATTAAATTAAATTTTTGGGGGATAAATAATTTTTAGAATAGTGATTGATGGGAGATGTGTGGTTGAAAAGTTTTTGATTTGTGTGTATTATTATTTTATTTGATGAATGTATGGTTGAGATGAAGAGAGAAAAAAAATTAATGTAATGAAATGTAATATAATATAATGGGGGCCAGGGCATGGAAAGCAATATTTAAAGATTCTTTCAGTCAAATTATAACGCAATTTTCCATAAGTAAGTTCCAATAACATTAAATGTGCAAATCTAAAGAATCAATTAAATAAGGTAAAATTGAGACATTAGGCATGATTGATTATGGAAATATACAACCATTTTTTTTATTTTTGCAAATTATAAATACAAATAAAGGCTGGTCTGAAAGATAATAAAAGAATTACCTCGTTCTTTCTGAAACTGAACTTGTGTTCTTAAAGGAGCCATTAAGGTAATGCTTCTTGTTTCATTATTATTTCTGCTTTTATTAGCTGTTTTGATTCTTGTATGTATTGTTTAATGATTTTTTTCATTGAATAAGTAAGTTTAATGAATAGAACTGAACTTTTATTTAAATTTGTATAAAAATCGTATATGGGTTGGCAAAAATAATGGGAATCGACTAGTTCTGTTCTTCGATCTATGGTTAAAATCTTGTTTATTGTATTTTGTAACAGGATGGGGCGCGCGAAATTGAACATGGAACTGATAAGCAAGGAGAAATCAAGAAACGTAACGTTCAAGAAAAGAAAGGAGGGTTTGATGAGAAAAATGCATGAATTCGCCACTTTGTGTGATGTTAGTGCGTGCATGATAATCTATCCCCCAACACAAGACAAGAACACAGTTGAGCCAGAAACGTGGCCACAAAATCTCGAAGAAGTACGGAGAATAATCGACATATACAAGAACAAGAACAAAGATTGTGGGAACAAAACGTTCGGCCTGTCTGACTTTTTTCACGACCGGAAGCGGAAAATCGAAGAAGAGCTTGTGAAATTGCGGAAAAAGAACATGGAAGCCAAGTACCCTACACGGATGAAGGTGATGGATGAACTGTCAGAAATTCAGTTGAGGGAGTTTTATGCCTTGTTGAGCAATAAGGCCGAATACGTCAAGTCTAGGATCGAAATGTTGAAAAGAAACGACAATGGATTCGATATGAATATGATGGATTTCGGACATGGAAGATTGATCCAAAGAGGCATAGAATTCGAGGTGATAGATCAGCAAGCAATTTCCTCTATGAAACCAATTGAAATGCATATGCCTATCCATTATCCAAGTACTGATCATCACCAAGAAATGCATTCTGTGAATCAGAATTCAATGATGATGTTTTTGATGAATGACAATGATTGTTTGCAATTTGGTGGTGCGTCAAATGGAAGTAATATTCAGTGTGCTTCATTTAAGAGGCAGGTGTTTTATGAGTCGACGGCTGCCGCTGGGCTCGGGGGGGTGGTGGACAATGTAATGTGCCATAATCCGATACCGCTAGCGCGATACTATGCGGTGGCTCCGCCTGTCCTGCCGCCCGTTCCACCACCGTACATGCAGTGTGGTATTGCGCCGCCACTACTTAATTCTTTGAAGGAGAGTGATGAACAAGATGCTTTTGAATGTCAAATCAAGAACCAGAGGGCAATGTACTATGATTGAGTAGTCAAGTGATTTGTGATATGAACCTTTGAATTTTTTCTTTTTCTTTTTCTTTTTTTTTTCAATTTTTTTTTCACTTTAGTTTTAAGTAAGTTTGATCATTAGTTTGGAGTCCCTTAAGAGGGATCACTAGTTGAATAATTCTGAATTCAAATTTTTATTATATTGCGTTCTTAACTCGTAAACTTTGCACATTCCTTGCACGTGCATGTCACGCTGCTTGAACTAGAATGCGGTATATCCTTTTTTGAGTTAACCTTATAGTAACATGTTCACATTCTTTACAAATGCATATTCCTTGCACGGGCATGCCACGTTGCATTTTTGTACTTGCATGTCACAGTCCTTGCACGTGAATGTGCTACATTCTTTGAGTTAACCCTACACGTTCATTCTTTGCATGTGAACTTTATATTTGTTGCACGCGCATGCCACGTTCTAATATTACACGTAATTTCAAAACTTTTTATTTAACCACGCATTTTAAAAAAAATATATATATATTATACTATTTCAACCATTAAAATTTCAAATAATAGGGGTCAAACGGGGCTTTACTAAAAAAATTTCCTTAACTGAAAAATTGGACATAAAGTTTCAGGCTAAAACCCAAAAGCTACCAAAACTAAACCCAAGAAACATGAAGAAATTCGAAGCAATTTCATAAATTTAAATTCTCTAGTATGAGATGAGACTCGTCATTGGGTCTGATCTGTAATTATTGTCGGCCAATCATCCAATCTGTTAAGAACAATTATAATTAAAATATCATTGGTCAAAACATTATGAAACAGTCTCTTCTAACATAAAAAATAGTTTTCATTAAAAAAATGTTGTAAAGAATATGGATAATTTCGAGTTCAATTCAAATTACATGCACATCCATATTCATACAAGTTTGAGGCTAGAATTTAAATTGAATTTGATATAAAACGACATGCACTATAAGAATGTTGCAATTTGAGTTAGAAAAAGTACATCTCGTACGTCTCCGGAACACGACAAATACCTATTATCGTTATTTACAAGGTAACATGTTTTAAAAGAGTATTGAGAACATCTCAAATCGAGTCTCCCTTTCTAGGAAAACGAGCTTTAAATTTGAGTGAGTTGAGCTTGTATTTGATGGAAAATGTTAAGTGTACATAATAAATGTACATAATGAATGTATAATGTGATGTGGCAATCATCCTGTCATTGATGTGAAAGCGTCAGATTTGAATTAAAGATTTTGATCAATGTCATTTGTAATTATGTAGACAATTATGTTCTTGTAGCGTCACTCGTATTTAATTTATGAATTCATAAGGGCACAAGATAATCCATTCATTTGATGGCACGTGGTTATGTGTCATAAGAAGAGGGCTACACTTACAGTGTTTAGAGGGTTGTAAATTTAAAAATTTACTCGTTGCTCACCTAAATTTGAACAAAATTACTCATTGCTCATTAAATTTTGATATAGATAACAATTATGGAAATGATAAGGGTGATTAATAGGTAACTTTATTCAAATTTAGATGAGCAACAAGTAACTTTTTAAATTTCAATGAGCAAGTAGTAACATATAGTAAAATTTAGTGAGCAAAGAGTAACATTTTGAATTTCGATGACCATGTAGTAACATATAACAAAGTTCAGTGACCATTGATTGAATTAACTCGCAACTAACATCTAACTTCTTTTTTCAAATCTTCTTTTAAAAAAGTCCAAAAATGAAAAAACCGTAACGTAGTCTTTCCTTTTGTTTATTTATACATCTTAGTTTGTCTGCATGATGCAAGCAAATATTTTTATATGGTTGAAAATATAGTGTTTTTAATAGAAAAATTATTAAAACCCAATGTGGTGAAAAGTAATAAGAGAAAGAAATGGGGTAAAATAAATTTTGGTGGTTCGAAAAAAATTAATAATAATAGAGAAATATTGTAGATATTGATTAAAAAAAAATTTTTTTTTTTTTTAAAATTCTATCGCTGCTTACCATCATTGCTTACATGAATGTGACACATCCTTTATCGAGTTAACCTTATATTAACATGTTCATTCTTTGCACGTGCACATTCCTTGCACGTGGATGTCACTTTACATTTTTGTACTTGCATGGCGCGATCCTTGCACGTGAATGTGCTACATTCTTTGAGTTAACTCTTTTAAGTAACATGTTCATTCTTTGTAAGCGAGGTTTACATTTGTTGCACATGCATGCCACGTTCTTCTGCACGTACCCCGTACCCTAACTTCCCTTCTTTCTTTCGCCTCCAAGGCTGTAAAAAGAAAGAAAAAGAGATGCTATCTAGACGGAATAATTTTGATTGTACGCCGCGAGATCCCATGGATAAGGAGACAAGTGAATCATCGCTTGTGACATGCTGTGAAGAGACACACTCAACAAAAAGGTTGTCTGATGGAGGCAAAAAAAAAATCCTATTCGTTCAAACTTATTTTCCCATTTTACATTATTTTGTAATAATTATACAAAGCAACAAATAAAAAATTAAATATTAGATCATTAGATTGGAGACACAAAGCTCGTGACATTATGTACCCAAAATAGATTTGCTAAACTCCTCTTTCAAATAAAAGTACAAGTATAGTGCAATAATTGTATCTACATACATATACTGTTATTGATAGACAAACGAGTCATGATATACACTATTTTGTACACTGGCAGATCTATAGTGGGGCCTAATGGTGCAAGTGCCCCACTAGATTTTGAAATTTTTTTTTTTAAGTAAGAAATGAAAAAGACATCCTTCAAAATCAAAACCCTCACGTCTCTCCTCTCATCTCTCCCGTCTGACCCCTGTATAAATCAAAGATTTCCGGTGACTAGGTAAGTTCCGGCAAGTGCCTACTGATTTTTTTAGGGATTTTGAATTTTGCTGTTAGAGAAGTTGCGGTTTTGGATGAGAGTTTTGTTGATCTGTTATCTGTCAATCTGTGTACATTTTGATTTTTGAATGAACTTTGAAGTTTGATTAGGATTTAGGAATGAAGCTGTTATCCGTGCTGTGAGTCTGTGACTGTGTACATATTTTGATGAATCTGATATTCAATCTTCTGTTATCTATGCTGTGATTGTTATTGACTGGGATTTAGGAATGAAGCCAATTGGAATGTCTTGCAAATTGACTGGCTAGAGAAATTTGGTAATGAAGTTGCTATTGGGTTGAAAACTGCAGCCTTCATGTCATATTCAACACAAATTGCTAGGTGGGGGTGGAAATTAATAGTAATGCACTTAATTGTTGTTTACTGACCTTTTCCAATTCCCATTATTTTCAGTTCTCTTACTGAATTCTGATTTTTCCGAACTTATTCTGAATTTTAGTCTCGGAGTGGACTGATAGAAGTAAGTTCTAATATGCTTCTTATTCATGGTATATGATAATGTGTTTCTTGTTATGTCTCTGGCTGGACATTCAGATTCATGAACCAAGTTTCAGATCTTATGATAAGTAAAGCTTTGTCTTGGCATTAGTAACCTTGACTTTTGAGTCTGTGTCATTGTCATTGATATCATAAAATGACCATTCTCCTCACCTCAGACATTTTGATTATAAAGTTGGAAAAGATGACGAAAAATATATCACTATTTTCTTCAATTCTTTAGTCTTTGATGCGAATCAATAATTCATTCAAAATCATTATAGACTACATAAAAATGTTCCTTTATGTTTTGGATGTGTTTGGATTTATATTTCAACTAAAATATTTTTTCTTTGGCAGGCTGAGAGTGCAATTGCAACTCTGAACTGCAGCGGTGCAGTCTTAGGGTCATTCCCGATAACTTATATGCCCGTTCCAAGCTCCAACTCCCGTCGTCGACGCACTGCTCCTATCAGCCTGTGGCGAGGTTCTTTGGCAGGCTGAGAGTGCAATTGTAGCTCTAAACTGCAACTGTGCAGTCTTAGGATCATTCCCGATAACTTATATGCTCGTTCCAAGCTCCAACTCCCGTCGCCGGCGCACTGCTCCTATCAGCCTGTGGTGAAGTAAGTTCCCGTTTTCCGCTCAAAATGAAGATGGATTTAAGTAATAGATTATGGATTTAAGTTCCTATCAGCCTGTGGCGAGGTAAGTTCCCATTCCCAGCACACTCCCGTCACTTTGTGAAAGTTAAATTGTGTCCCCCTAGTTTCAAAAGTCTGCGTATGTCCCTGATTGTGTACCATATACAATTCTCCCAACCTTCTTGCTTCTTTCATGAACTTAAAAGAGTTTCAATGAATTTACATCTCAATTGTAAAAGAGAGACAATTTCTTCAATTGAAGAATGAGAGACAAAATATCCAACTTTCAAGTAGCAACCAAAACTACTCGCACAAAAGGCCGAGGTCATCATTGTAATCGTCATTCGGTTGCATGCATGATTTACGAATGAGACGCATGGTAGATCTAGCGCATTAATTTCAAATTTTCATCTCCCGTCACTTTTGATTCCAAGGGTTGCGATCTCTTCACCAACTGACGGTCCATATTATACGGCATGGAAGTGTCGTGTGTATTCCTATAAAAAGCAAACATTTCCTCCAAATTGTGCACTTCGGCAAACACTTTTTGAAGCGAGATTTTCATCAAAATTATTGGAATTGATTTAAGTATAAATATGGAAATGTGACTTTCGCGTCAATTTCGACGAAATATTCAGACTTAATCTGATATTCAAATTATGAAAAATAGATAGACTAACTTATTCCACTCGTTGAGTAAATCGCCTGGCATATTTGGAATCTCCAAAATAATTTCGAATAAATGAAAAATTAATGTCCAAAGTTGGAAGGAAATGGGGGAAACTGGTTGGGTATTTATATAACTTCGCTGCTCGCCTAGCGCTCGAGAGGTGAAGCTATTGCTCGAGCGATGACAACCTCTCTATTTCTGACGCTCGAGCAACGAACAGACAACATGTGTCATAGTAAAAGTTGCGACCCTTGCAAAGGTTGTTGAGTTTTGGGACGTGACACTTCACTCACAACATTTTCTCCTCTATA